AGCAGAATCCCCCCCCCCCCGCAGAAACCAGCTCTCCGGCAACCAATGAGCTTCAGCCAGGGACGTGCACAGACATTTTGGGGGGCAGGAGCTCAAGTGAGAAAAAGGGCACTTTCCATAATAATTTATAAAAAAAGAATTTAAAACAAAAAGTTAAATATAGTTGCACATCTCTGACTTACTGACCAATTTAATTTAATTTAATTCAATGTCAATTTGGTCCTGCTTTTGTGTTCCGTTTTGGTGTAAAATGTAGCCTACATTTAAATAAAACTATAATCATAGTAATGTGAAATCCTTTTAGAAATGAATTGCACATAATAATTCCCACGGAGCTGTGAGCACTTATTCATTTACGTGACGAGTCTGTCCAGTTGTCAGTTTTCCTCTGTTGAAATGGACCAGCTGTGAAGGTGGGGGCGGGGCTTTTATACGCGAGTAGTGAAAACACTTCCGCGTAGTCTGCTCGCGTGTATCCTCCCTTTAGTTTCCCGCACCCCTCCTCCCTCACCCCTCCTCGACTCCTCCGTGTGCATTTCAGCTATTGGGACGTCCTTCAAAATGGCGTGTCTTAATCGATTTCCGGGTCAAGTCCCGGAGGAGGGGAAGAGAGGAGTCGAGGAGGGGTATTGGGATGAGGCTTATGTGTGCACGTGCCTGGCTCAGCCGCTCCTTACATAACAGAGGTGTACGTGTTGGGAGATCTACCGTTGACTACGTGCAATGGTGTAAAGTAACTAAGTACATTAACTCAAGTACACTTCCAAGATACATACTTTACTTGAGTATTTCCATTCGATGCTACTTCATACTTATACTCCATCTCAGAGATGATTATATTGTACTTTTTACTCCACTACATTTATTTAACACTCATTTATATAAAAAACACATGATTTGCTGATTTAGTGTATAGGTATAATGCACTACTGTACTACTAATGTACACATTATCTAAATTTGGTCCAAGTTGACAAACAACAACACTAAAATAGCCTACTCTTAAATGTATAATCAAGATAGAATAGTAACTAGTGCCCTCAAGAATTATTGGCACCCCTTTAGAAAAATGAGCAAAACAAGATGCAAAAAACGTCTTTCCTCATGATATTTCATTCAAAAATATTAATAAAAATCTAACCTTCATTCATTTAATATTTTGTGCATCCTCCTTTTGCCAGGATTACAGCTCTGAGTGTTCTCCTGTAATGCCTGATGAGGTGATCACATGGCACGAGATCTGAGACCATTCTTCTATACAAAATCTTTATTCTGTGGTTAGTAAACCATTTTTTTGTAGATTTTGAGGTGTGCTTCGGATCATTGTCCTGCTGGAAGGTCCAACCACGGACCTTTGCTTCCGGGCAGAGGCCATTTCTCTAATTCCCCTCCTCGACTCCTATCCTCGTGTCTTAGTCCCGCCCACAGGAGATGCGAGCGGAGGAGTCGAGGAGGGCAACCGAGGAGAGAGGAGGGGAAGCAGCAGGAGGTTAGAGAAATGAGAACTCCTCTCCTCTGAGCAGTCATTTTAAAGAGACGTCCATTAATGATGACAGGAGGCACAGCAGCCCTCTGTCTGATGGACAGATGTGTTCATGACGACTTATATATATACTTTTAATTCATTGAAAGTTCAGTATAATGAGACAATAACAGGCTACAGATACAGACATACACACACATTTATATAAAGATATACAATTTCAGAATCAATTAAGTATGAGAGCACTCTCATAATAACGTAACACTATCAAAGACTGGATGCACCCCCGGTAAGATTTTTTTTTAAATGTTGGACATAAATGCATCAATCTGTTGCATTTTGAGGGGGAAATAAAGAGAGAGACTACACCCATATGAAACAGAACTGTAAACATTTAAATAAATCATAAAATCATAATAACATGGCCATAACAATAACATAACATATCCAATATGAAAAAACATTGAAACTTGTTTATTTATTTGTTTTTGGTTCATTTATAGTTGTGAGTGTGTCTGGACTCCTGAACCAGCCTCACCTGTCTCCCCCCTCTCCCTCCTGCTCCTCTTTGAGGCAGCAGCAAAGACTAGTTTTAGCTCTCAACAAGTTTTTAAAGTTTATCTTACCTTTTTTCACCTAGTTAACGTTAATTTTACTAATCACTGCCCCTTCAAATTGAAATATGTGTTTACATGAATAGTGACCAAACCGTGAGACTCACTGAGAACTAAGTTAACTTTCTAAACCAGTGGACCCCAAACCAAGGCCCGCGGGCCGGATACGGCGCGCCTCCACATTTGGCCCGGCCCCCTGAACAATACCAGAGATGCATTAGGATTTTTTCAGTCTGGCCACGCGAATCCTAGACTAGCCCCAGTAAAATAGAACGGAATAATGGCGAAAAGGTTAGGTAAGAGGAAAATTGATTCAGAATGCAGGGTATTTAACCTGCAGTGGTCAAACGATTATTTTTTGTTCAATGCGAAGAAAAGGCTGTTTGTCTCATCTGTCAAGAGGCGGTGGCGGTATTCAAAGGATACAATCTGCGCCGACATATGAATCCCGTCACAAAGACAAGTTGATAACTTGCAAGGGGGGCCAAATGCGAGCAGACAAACTCTCAAAGCTAAAAGTGGACTGTTAGATTCAGCAGAATACATTTGTACGCCAAGCTCAGCCTGGAACACGAACCAGTCATCCGTTCGGTGCCAGATTTTCGGGTTGCTCAACTGATAGCAAGCAGCCGGTAAACCTTTCACTGAGGGAGAGTTGTCAGAAATGTTTGAATGCTGTCGCGAAGAGGTGTGTCCCGAGAAGAAAGTGTCTTTTATACCGTGAGTCTGTCGAGCGAGTACAATGCACCAGACGCATTGAAGAAATCGGGGGTAAATGTATATGCCAGTGCAATACCTGTTCAGCAGATCGACAAAGATTTGACTTTTTTTCATTAGCACTGGAATGAGAGCAGGACGTGCAAGACACAGAGCAGCTTCTCATCTTATTCGTGGAGTTTAGCGCAAACTTTGAGATGTGCGAGGAGCTGGCAGCCTCCAAAGTCTCAAAGGGACTACAACGGGGGAGGATATTTTCGGCAAAGTATGCCAAACCATGGAAGAGATTGACCTAGACGGCCAAAGCTTGCCAGCATCACGACGACGGGGCTCCTAGTATGGTGGGCGCTATCGGGGTCTAATAGGATGCATGAACCGGGAGATGGAAGAACGGGGTTCTCACCGCCCCGCCTACAAGTTCACTGCCTACATTCACCAGCAAAGCAACTGTGCTGCAAAGGTGTGAAGTGGGGATTCTGTCATGAAGGTGGTGGTGTCATGCATAAACTTCATCAGAGCAAAGGACTAAACACAGGCAGTTCCAACAATTCCTGTCTGAACTGGAGTCTGGCACGGCGATGTGCCGCACTACACAGAGATCCGATGGTTGAGCCGGGGCAGAGTTTTGAGGCGTTTTTACGAGCTTGCTACCCGAAATTTAACGCATTTCTTCATTCAAAAGACAAAACGGTCCCCAGAGCTGATCTGACCCGACATGGAATGGCACTCACATTTTTAACAGACGTGACCAGTGAAATCGCTGAACAGCCCTTAACTTGCAGCTACAAGGCAGGCGAAACTAAATTTACGACATGTATTCTCACAATAAAAAGCATTTGAGGTGAGAACTTGCCGCTGCTTTGGAACAAGTGGAAAAAGCACAAACTTAATCCATCTCCCTGCTACCTAAGAACCTCTCTGCAGAGAACCCAGCGTACCGTTACCAGCTGAAAATGTGTGGAAGCACTGGAAATGCCTGAAGACGGAGTTCGGTGGGGCGATCCGGATACTACATGTTAATTCAAAGAAATCCGTATTTCCAGAACCACTT